TCAGCTTGCAGAATTTTGATTTAGTTAAGTTTCCTTTCTTCCCTCTCTCCTCCCTCTTCCTACCTTACTGGTATCTCTAGGCCTGATACCTGGCCCCTATGTGGTTGAGAAATTAGCACCAAGATTTTCATAAGTGAGGACCTCACCTCCTAACCAGACATTACTGACCTTCTTGGTTTCTTAACCCCCATAGTTTCTGGTAGATTCTCATTTTAGAGTCCTGAGTGCTTCAGGAAAATGACAGGAATACTCTCTAAGAATTTGCCCCTCAAAGTGCGGTCTCTGGACCAGCTGCAGCAGCATCACCTGGGAGCTAGATAGATGTGCAGAATCTGGGGCCGCACTCAGGCCCGCTGAGTCAGAATCTGCAGGTGAGTCATATGCACAGTAAGGCTGGCGAAGCACTGTAAGGAGGGGAGACAGCTGCTCTACCGAACAGACCCCCGCCGGCCGTCCCTTGAGTGTGCCTTGGATGGAATAATAAGGTGCTGGCGTGGTGCTCAGGAGTCATAAAGAAGGGCACCGACCAGATACGTGCCTTCAGGGGAGCTCTGCTGCCGCCCTTGCTCCTTTCGGCTCTCCGAGAAGGGGCACACACATTGTACGTGAGGTCTTTCCCTCCACTGACGTGTAAAACATCTAGAGACCCGGGGTATTGCTTCCATAGTTATTAGAAGTTTCACAACAAATGTCATTAGTGCCTCCCAGGGAGTAATTTTCTCCCTTTCTGTATACCACCAGTGCTTTGTATATCTCTACTGGAGAATGCACCCCCTTTGACTTGTTTATGCATCCCCATCCCCCACAGTATATTGTACAGTTCTTCACGGCCCAGAAACACATCGAGTCTTGACTATTCTGCACCTACCCTAGGGCCTGGCACTTACCAAAAGAAGGGGGTGGGGGAAGGATGGAGTGATAGAAGGAGGGAGGGAAGGGAGGGAGGGAAGAAGGAGGGAGGGAGGAGGGAAAGAAGAAAAATGGGATTGAGTTTCAAGGAATTGAAAGCATATATATATTCTAGAAGTTGGGAAGGATTGGGCAAAATTATGCAGAGAGGCTGAGTGTTCAGAAAGAGAAAGGAAAGAAAATCTTAGGGAAATCTTAGGGGATGAAGCTTTTGGGTTACAGATAAGGGGATAAATCAAGAATTAAGATCACTTAAATGCAAGTGCAGAGCCAACATGCAAATCCAGGTCTGTCTGACTTAATGGCCTCTGCTGTCTCTGTGCCACACTGCCTTGAACGGCATAAAAGGAGAGCAGTGGAAAGACCCCTAATATCTGTGTAAGAAATCCAGTCCCCTTGTCCACAGGGGAGCACACTGGGGCCCAGAGAAGTGGATTGACCTCCTCACAGTTACAGAGCTGGCTGGTGGCAGATGCAGAATAAGAAACCAATAAAAGGGGGTGTGCCTATAGCCAGTCACATAACCTGAATTTTTCAACCTATCCCTTCCAGACCAGGGACAAGTTGTGTGTCTCGGTGGCCCCTTTGGTCTGTATTCTCGCTCTACTGCTGGACGGAGCCAGCACTGTGAGTGAGCAGCAGAGTATTGCCTCGTTACTATTCTCTGCCAGGGCCCTAGCTCTAGGTCATACATTTGCCATAGGGACAGCGCAGCCTACAGCCTTTGCATGTTGTTAGTACCCAGACATCTCTAGCCCTCACAACAAAGATGGTTTGCAGAAGTTACAGATTTGTATCGGTATTCAAACTAATTGGTGGTAGAGAAAACAGCAAGCAATTGGAGCCAGGATATTGTAATTAAAAGCCATTGAGCTGATAGAGTTATCAGGAAATCAGCAAATCAATCCCTCTATCCCCAGCCTAGATGGAAACATGTCTACTCCGTGCTTAAAGCTTCTCAGGGGAGAGACTTCAGCCTTTGCCTTTCAGTTGTTACAACCGCTGATTACTTTTGCTAGATCCACTCCCAGGAAAAGATGGGAGGATACTTCTACCTCTTGGAAGTCCTCTACTCCTTCCCAGAAATGTGTCTTCCCTTCCCCACCCTCATACTGCTGAGCCCTGAAACTGGGTCTCTGTCATCTCCCAGGTCCCAGCTGTCATTCTCTGGCAGAGAGGTGTAGGGAAGGAAGAATGCTCTTCCTCCTCTGCTGATAGATACAACCTCAGGCAAGTTCTCTAACCTCTTCTCCCTCATGTCAGAAACTGGTAGACTAGATGGCCTCTAAAAACCTTATAGCTCCAAAAATCTAATCCTCGATTTTGCCCGTGGGTTGACTTCTAAGACTTATTTCTTCCAAAGGGCATTTTAATTTTCATACAAAATATAAGGGGGGAAAAAAAAAGATCTCTCCTATATGCAAGAGAACAGACCCGCACAATGAAATCACAGGCTTTGGAGGTGATATTTTGGGGCAGGACATTATGGAGGCAATATATTCCATCTATTCATAAGGCAGCTCTGCCCATCACAATGACTATTTTCATATTTGTGAAAAGAAGCCAAGAATTGGATATGAACTTTTTGTGATTCCCTGTATCTGAAGAGCTCTTCATTTATTTTTTTGACTGTGGATGCATAAATATGCTTACAGAGCATAGCATTATATTATTAGCATGGGGTATTAAATGTGTTATTTAGTATTGGAGGTATTAGTCTCGAGCATTAGGGCAGATTAGCATTTGATGTATTAGTTCTTTGAGGTTACAATTAAAGCTTGGATTCCTGATTGTTATATCCAATAACTGAACTGTGATTTGGCTCTTAATTCTACATTGAGTTCACCAACATTGACAGCCCAGTACTAATTAATTAATGACAATTCTTTATTTTCAACTATGTATAAGTATAGGTTGTTCACATCTTCTGATTTATTTAGACTTTCAAGGTGACAGTTTTGACTAGGCACAGCCTTTTCACATTGTGGCATTTCTTAGCCTAGCTTTCTGAGAAACTCTATGCTGAATCCATGGTTTCAAGCCTTTAAAAACCTCTTAAGGAATCTTGCCTGCCCATCCTTTACCCCGTCCACACCCCCTCTCTTCTCTCACCTGCTTTCCAGAAGCAAAATCTTTGGTCTGTTACTTTGACCCAAGCTCTGGTATACCAGACACCCCATCACTGTCTCAGAACAGAAGAGTCAGCATCCATCACAAATAACAGATGAGTAGGTCAAATATAAACATTTCTTCTACTGTGATTAATTAATAATGTCTTTTAGGCCTTCTATCAATATGGTACTTGCCTCTGGGCTCACAAGGGCACTCCTAAATATTTACTAATATTTAATAGTGCTTTTAAATGGACTTGATACACTCAGCTCTGTGGTTTAAGCCTTCGAGCAGGCAAGAAGTGAAAATCTTTGTAACTGGGTGCATGTATTTCTAAAGCCTTAATACATCACACCATCATCTTCCCAGAGCCTTCCTAAGACAAGGAGTCTGCGATAAGAAGACACAACACCCTTCTTAAGAAGCACAACTCTATAATAGGCATGCTTTTCCCCCCAGTCTGGTCTGAGTCAGAGACTTTGACAACTGAGGTTTCCCACCCCTCCACTGTGGCACTGACCCAGGTAAGATGTGAGCCCTCACATACTGACTCAGTTCTCACCAGGGCAATTATCTTTATGCCACTGAAGGTGTACGCTGCTGACTTTGTGCACAGCACCTTCTCAATTGCTTTCCTCCTCACTCTGAATGTTGTTGTGCATGGTGTGCCTTTAATTCATGGGTGAGAGTCTGTGCCCACCCAATCCTACAGCATGTAGACATGCAGAGTCAGTGCTAAATTCAGACTCTGATATCTATCTTACACCTCTCAAACCCCATCACTGGAAAGTAGCAATGCCTTCCCACCCCTTGCAACCCCCTTCCCCACAACAGCACACTCCTCTGGCCCGTCAATACCCCACTGATGAAGATGATGTCTGCTGGTTCCATCTTCCACAGATGAGTGACTTGGTATAAATTCCCCAAAGCAAGCAGTGGCTGAGTAGAGATAGACAGCCACCACCTGCATCCACCCCTAGATCCTCCCATCACTCTGGATTTCTACCCTAGAAGGCTTCAGGGGAATTGTGAAGAAAGAAATGCTGGAGGCTGCTTATCTACCAAGGATTTCAGGTCCTTGTGGGTTGAAATATGGTGCCATGATTAAATAGGATGCTGAATTCTTCTCTAGGCAACAATAAACATAGAAGGCTCTTGGGCATGTAGACATGACCATCCTTTCCGTCTCCCAGTTCATTATGTACCGGCTGAGATATAGCCCAGGTTGGGAATGGAGTACTTAGTATGTATGTGGTGACTTCTGCCTGAAGAAAATGGGGGTCATCATGCCTCCACATTGTACTCGGAGCCTGTGGAGAATAGACAGGGAAGTGGTTCTCCAAGAGATTTGCCGTGAAATGCTCCTCAGACTACCCGAGGGAGGCACTATGGTGAGAATGATGCCTTATTCTGTGTGGTGTATGTTCCACCTGCTTTTTAGGCTGCAAAAGTGGTAATCAGAGCGTACGGGAAACTCCTGATGTCCGCAGCAGCGTCGGCAAAAAGGAGCCCCCAGTTAGCAGGCATTTGCCCAGCACAAAGCCTGCAGTTCCCCTTGTCTGCAGGGACTTTGACGCCACTCTCCTGATAGTGGGAAACCCTGGTTGTAGGACCTGTGTTAGTTCTCATGCCTGGGGAAAGGGGCGGGGGTGGGGCGGGTACCCAGGTAACTCTGGGAGAGTTCCGCCTCACTCCATTCCTCATTGAACAACTCCCACATACACACAGGCACACACGCACACACACACACACACACACCCAGTCTAGCCAGACATCATTCACTTGTGAAAGCATAATCAACCACCCTCCCCCACAGCAATATCCACTATCCATGAATGCCCACGTATCACACACAGAGCAATTAAAAAAAAAAAAAATCCAGGCAGCCCAGGGAGCTATACTCTTTTTTTTCCTCTTTTTCTCTCTCATTTTTCCCCTAAAAAAGGCCTTTTAAGAAAATATATTAAACCAGGTAAACTTTTACTCATATGTTCATGTGGCTGGAGCAGATTGACAAAGAAAACAATCACAAAATAAATATTTTTGTTTTGTTTTTAAAAAAACATTTCCCTATACATCGTCTCTTTCTAACTTGACAGAGCTGCTTTCCTGGACAGCACGGGCGCTGTTGCAAGAGGAGCCCCGGCTGGACCACGAGGGGAAGATGGGGCAAAGTGGGGAGGCTGAGGAAGCAAGGGGGCCGGGGGGAGTGAGGGGTGGGGCGCAGAGCAAGCCTGCCTGCCTGCCCTTGCGGTCCTCTGTCGGTGTCACCTTGAGTTTCTCGGGGGAGCCGGCTTGCGAAGCAGTCAGTGTCTGGGAGGGCGCAGCCGAGGCAGCATACAAAAAGTAAGAACCAACGTGGGGCATCACGAAACAACGCCATTTTAAGAAATCGGGTTAAAAAGAATACAAAAGTGACTCCACGGAGGGGGAGGAAGAGCGCTTCTGTTCCTACAGAAGCCCCCTCTTGCTTTCTTGAATAAGAATCACTTTTCAGGATTTATTTTCTCATGGTTTGGCTGGTTCTTTTGCTTAATCTCTCCCTTAGCTCCTCTCCTTCGACTGCGTTCATTTGAAAGCACCGACTTTACAGATTTGAGGCTGCTGAGTTGTAGCCTCCCTGTGTGAGTGACAGCGTGTGCGTGTGTGCGTATGCGCGTGCACACGCACGCACAAGGCGAGTGTGTGCACGTGGGCAGTGGCGGTTTCTTTCTGTCCTGCCTGCTTCAGTCCAACTCCTGGAGTCCCGTCTGCTGGGTGCTGCAAGTCTCAGGGGAGAACCCTGTTGGCACTAAGGTGAGGGCTCGGATGATCTCTGCACCCTGGATTCACGGGTCACCCTGGACCGCCTCCCTGCCCAGCACTGGAGCGGGGCCCCCATTAGCTACAGAGTTTGCCTGTCTCATACTCCACGGGGTTTGGCAGCTTGGAATTGAAAGCCCTCAGGGAGGACTGGATCCTGCCCACCTCATTGTTGGCCAACTTGAGCCGATGCCGGAGCAAGCAGGAGAAAAGGTCAAGCCGGACTTTGCCGGGTGGAGAAAGCTGGTTTACCCGGTCCCTAAGCTCTATGAGCTGCAAGAGGGCAGAGTCCTGGGAACCTTGAGTGTATGGGTAGTCTAACTGGAGAATTAAGTCCCGGATGGCATCCGGGTCAAAGGGGAGGCTGTAGCCAAAGACCTGCAAGGTGTTGATTTTCATGTATCCTAAGTTCTTGGAGGGATCGGTCATCTCTAGGGGCTCGTAGTAGATTGTCTCATTGGAGCTGTCATCCAGGGACTTGATTCGGCTCCGGAGGTAAACATGGACTGTCTCAAAGAAGGTCTTCCACCTGTTTCCCAAGGTGATAGTCCAGTTTTGGCACTGGGCGGCCGCGTCCACGTTAGTCCTCTCCCAGTCAGGGAAGCTGCCCTCACTCACGGGCATGAACCAGCTCTCAGAGTGGCTGCCCCCAAACGGGTTGACGTAGATGGCCATGACAGGCTCCAGGGTGCTGTTCTTGGTGAGGCAGATCTGCAGGGACAGGGCCAGCATCACGTGCACCAGCCCCGGCTTGTACTTGTTGCTCTTGAGGGTGAGCAGCATGCGCTTCCTCCAGGAAGGGTCGAACCAGCTGCCCAGGCGCATGTCATTGCTGATGAAGATGGAGTGCACCTCGATGCGGCTGTCCCGCTTCTGCAGCAAGTACTTCAGCTCCAGGTCCTGCAGGTCTGTCTCCAGCCCCAGAAAGTTCTCCAGGGACTCGGCCACCTCTGGCCGGCACAACCCCTGGGCCAGCACATAGCCTGGGTTACAGGCCCCGCAGCGCGTGCTGTTGTCAGGGGCACAGTGGGCGCAGGCGGGCCCTTCCCCCAAGGCACACGGGATGGGGCCCTGGCAGGAGGACTGGTCGTAGGGGCAGGTGCAGCCGTGGCTCTGTTCCAGGAAGGTGCCAGGGAAGGTGCTTTCTCCGCAGTAGAGGAGGGACTGGACTCGGTTCCACCAGTAGGACAAGGACCTTCGGGAAGGGAGGTAGAAATGAATAACAAGTCCGAGGAAACACATTGCCGTCCCCCCTGAGGGTAGGAGGAGATTGACTAATAGGCAGGGAAGGTAATGAGAAAGATAAAAGCCTCAAGTTCTCTGAATGACAGAAACCCCTACTGCACCACTTTGGAATGACTGAGTCAGGCCCGGAGCTCAGCGTCTGATGGATCAACACCAGAAACGCTTGACATCAAACTTGCACTGGAAGCAGCCAGCCTCATCCCTCCCCAGTACCACCTCCTTTGCTTATTCCACAGCCTACAGAAGATTTCCCATAGCCTCTGTATCAAAACCCCTCCTGTAGTTTTCAGCCTTTGAGCTTGTCGGACAACTGGAACTCCCCCCTTCCCAGCGTCCCATCAGTTTCTTTCCCACTTCTCCGTCCCTGTCCTTTCTATTCCCTCTGCTTCTGTCACTCTGCCACCAAGAACAGGAATTTCCTATGGCTGGCTCCCTCTTCAGATTTACATCTCAGCCCCTCGGATACCTCCTCAAAGAGGTCTTCCGTGACACCCTTCTCAAAAGAACCACCCGGTCGCTCTCTGTCACATCGCTCTGTTTTTCTGTAATCCACGGCAAGGATCAGGATGGGACATTATTGGCTATGGGTTACGTGGCTTCTCGGCAAGTGCCACGAGAGCAGGGACGCTGTGTGATTTGCCAGCATATTCTCAGAAACCAGGTGAGCACTTCAGAGTGATTTGTCGAAAAAAACAAAAAGGAACCCCTCTCGAGAGCCCCTGCTGGTCTGAGCTCTCCACTCAGGCTTCCCTTCTTGCCCGTGCCTCAGTGAGAGCTGCATCCCTGGGTTGTGAGGCCGCTCCCCTGCCCTGCAAGGCTCCACGCCTCGGTGCACCACTTCCATCTCTCGCACACAATCTGGCCAAGACGTCCTTCTCCACGGTGGCTTTTCTCTCTGGCTCTTGCTTTTTACTAGACCATGTCTCTGATTTATGTTCCACGAATGTGAATTTAAGTGGCTGCCACATAGTTAAAATTTTACAGTTTTTATGTTTCTGGATATTTATTAGATCCTCTCAATGAACAAATACCCATCTCCCCGACACACACACACTGCTTAAAATTAGGATATGCAGTGTGCACTTGTTGAATCAGCGGGCACTGGAGGGGATGGATGAGGGAGTGTCTCCGACTGGACAGCCCCCCTCTGCTCTCGAGGCAGCGGGGCCTCACCTTCCTTCCCTTCCGTGACCGAGAGCAGTCACTTGTCTGAGGCAACCCACTGCATGCATTCTCACCGTATGCAGTTGGAGGGTGAGCTTCAACTCCACCCCTTTCTTTCCTAAAAAAACGCCTTAAAATAGAAATGGGTGAGAATTGGAGTATTATTAGAACAACATTGGAATCCACCATAATTTATATAGAAGTAAAATTAGCCTCTCTCTGTTTCCTCTCTTTCACTTCAGACACAAGTCGTAATTGAGCAGGACACACAAGGGGGTGCAGACAGCAGGGGAATCTCAAAGGCCTCACGTGGGTCCCCACGACCAGATCCACCTCGCTGGACAGAGGCCCCCCCCCCCCCAGCCTCAGCAGCTGTGGCGGAAGGCGCCGAGCCCCGGCCCCCGGGGGCAGGGGAACTCACCTCTCCTTGGGCAGGCGGAAGCGAGGCTGCCGGTGGCAACGCTTGCAGAGGTTGAAGAGCCAGCGGACAATCCGATGGGTCTTCTTGAACAGCAGTTTCAGGCTGGTTCCCAGCTGCTGGTAGCGGTGCTGAAGGCTGGTGTCCATGGCCCAGAACTGGGAGACGGCCGTGGAGTTGAGGAACCGGTCATCGGGCAGCCTTTTCAGCAGGGCCTGGAATTCCTCTGTGGGCAAGGACACAGAGCTGAGCTCAGGGGGCGTCATGCAGACCTTGGGGCGGGGGGCAGGAAGGCACCCCCCAGACCCAGCCGGCCCCGGCGAGTCCCTGCCCGAGGAAGGAGGCTTCTCATCCCCTCTCCCAGGCCCTTTTATATATTTCTTTTTCAACAGCTTTATTTGGAAAATAATTAACATACCATAAACTATAGCTTTAGGATTCTTTTCTCTCTTTCCTGTCCCTAATAGGCTTCTGAATTTCAAGCCCGATTTCTGTCACTGCCCAAGCAGGCCAGAGGGGCTGCTTTTGCCGAGCACCTTGGGATGCACCACTTCTCCCTTTGTGACTCCTTCTACATCATTCTCAACTACCATAGTTCAGTCCTCTTCAGTCACACCACAGACACCCTGGGGAAGGTGTAGGGCAGCCACCAAGGGAACAGTGCCCAGCGGGTACTGTGGACACAGGGAGACTGAGCGCCCAGCTCAGAAAGCTTCTTAGAAAACTATCAGTCCCTGAGCCCAGCCTCTCCCGTCCACATCCTCCTCTCGGACTTGGGAACACCCTTCGTCTCTTTCAAGCTTCAACTCTTGGCAGATTCCCATTCTTTCCTATGGCTAACCCAGAAGCAAGATGCTCCCTGGTTCTTGGTGCCTACTGCACGTCTGAGTTCTCGGAGCTTCCTGGGCACAGCATGTTTGCTGAATTCATGCTCAGACCTGCTTTTACTTGGGACCTGTGGCCACCGTCTCCTGGCGGGGGGGCCAGATAGCCCTCATTTACTCATTAGGAGTAAATAACTCATGGTGGTGAGAGCCCGACGTCATGTCCCACAGGAAGCAGCACTGAACATGTCCTACCATCACAACTCCAGCGCAGCTGGGGTTGTAGGGACTGCAATTTCTTCACAACTAACTGCTATGTCTAGGACTTGAAATGACAATGCCTGGGGCCTCAGCTCATTCTCACTTCTCAAGCACCTGGTATTCATCCCTCTCTTCCCCTTCCCCAGTGGTCGGAGAATCATACCTAGTGATGACATTAACAACTAGCATGTACATAGTTCTTTTTATTTTATTATTTTTTCTTAAGAGACAGAGAGAGGCAGAGAGAGAATCCCAAGCAGGCTCCAGGCCCAATGCAGAGAGCCCAACATGGGGCTCGATCTCACCATCCTGAGATCATGACCTGAGCTGAAATCAAGAGTCAGACGCTTAACTGGCTGAGCCACCCAGGTTGCCCCTCATACTTCTTTTCCTAAAACATTCAAGCTCACAAAAGAGCACAGGGAATAACAGGATAAACTTCCATGTGCCCACCACCTAGATTTGGCCATTTTGCCATATTGGCTTCAGTCTTTTGTTCTGTTTCGTTTTGTTTTTTGAGAAATAAGGCAAAGAAAATATATAATCGAAGGCCCTAAACTTCCCACCTCTCTCCATATCAATGTAACCACTCTCTTGGATGTTTTATCATTATCATATATTTCTTCACATTTTCTGCAAACGTATTTATCTGTAAAAATATTAAGTATTGGCTAGTATGTTTTTAAGCATCAAAAAATAGTGCTACATACGTCTTATATTTAATACATATTATAGTATTATATTGATATAATGTGTATAATATATAAGCTTTTTCATTTTGCTTTGTTTTACCCAACACTCATTAATGTTGAAATGTATGAATGTACCAGAGTTATTTATACATTAATTTTATCTACACTATCCCACATGAGCCTTCCATCCACCCATTATGATCACTTTCCCTCTTTTACAGATGAGGAAATGGGGGTATTGTGAAGCTGCATGCTTAACAGAGGTCATAAAACCGGTCAGTAACAGTGTGTCTTAGTCTTTGGAGGTTGCTCTCAGAAAATGCCACACACTGGGTGGCTGATAAACAGCAATTTATTTCTCACAGTTCAAGAAGCTGGGAGTCTAAGATCAGGACGCCAGCACGATCAGGTTCTGGTGAAGGCCCTCTTCCCAGTCACGTAGGGCTAACTCTTGGCTATGTCTTCATGTGGCAGAAGCAGAGAGGGATCTTTCTGGGGCCTCTTTTGTAAGAGCACTAATCCCTTATCACCTCCCAGAGGCCCCACCTCCCTGGGCATTATATTTTCCATATGAATTTTGGGGGACACAGACGTTCAAAGCATACCCAGAGCAAGGACTCAAAACCAAGTCCTGAATCTACATCTCAAGGTAACATTGATATTCGTTATACCCGCAACAAGCCATAATCAGCATGTACTGGGTGCCTCCTAGAACTATTCTATGTACTTCATTCATTCAACAAATATTCCTTGTGCACCTTATGTGCAGGCACCGTGCACAGGCAAGTCCTACGCCCTTAAATATGTTCACCTGAACTTCCTAAGTCCTTAAAACACATCTCTTTGGTAGGGGTTATGTCCATTTGCCTCGACAACAAAAAATAACCACTCAAGAGTTGAGGTGGTGATATAACCTGCTAGGGGTCACGGAGACAGGAAGTGGATGAGCCACGGTCCACGCTGAGTTCCCACATTCTAGTCCTGCACCTCCCGGCTATTCGCCAACGCTAGGGAGGAAATGTAGGCCAGCCGACTGCTCACCTGATTCCTCAAACTGCCGGTTGTGGGTCACCCAAGAGTCCCGGATCTGCAGCAGGCTGTCCTCCATGGCCTGGATGTCAGCGTCGGGACAGTTGCATTCTGGGAAGGTGAGGCTGCACTTGCACCAGCAGTCATTCCCCCTGCAGACAAGCTCGCCCTCGGAGCTGCACGTGATGTAGCTGAGCGCCGCGGCCACAAAGCGCTCACGCAGGTACTCAGGCAGCAGCACCTGCAGGCCTAGGGGAAGGACGTGTCAGGGAACTGTGGGGTAGGACCAGTGGGGACTCGGTTTCCCACACTCAAGGCTGCAGGATCCCCAGCTGGGGTTCTGCAAACTTGTGCATTCTGGGCCCAAGAATGGTTGGTCACCCCAGGGCCTGACCCTGTGGAGCTGGTTGGATAAAAAGGGTTACACTGCCCCCGTGACAGGTGGGAGAGCATCTGAAAATGCAGATGAGGAGCATCAAAGCCCAAGGCTTAGTCGAACCCCTCACATCCGCCAAATTGAGAGCACGCGCGTCAGACGCAGGGCCTTATGGCTATGCATCAGCATTTCTAGGATAGAAACGGGAAGGTGTTTCAGATAAAAGAAGAGCTTACAGCCCTCATGGGGGAGGAATCAAGGCTCAGTGGGCTTTTCGCTCTGCTTCTGATTGCCATCCTGGTTGTGGCTTCACTGAGCTGAGCAGCAGACATCCATCCGCAGATGTTATGCTGAACCCCCTCCCGGGCCTCCCACCCCAGCCCTGATGACCAAGGAGGCTGCTCTGGTTAGGAAGTGGGACAGGTGTTGCTGGTACGCAGCGGCCAGGCACCGCACCAAGTACTTTGCAAATATGATCACAGGTAACATCCTGGGCATACTGAGGCTCCTCTAGGTGAGGAAATCTGAGCCCAGTGGCCACAGTGACCTGCCCAAGTCACAGTGCTAGTGAGGTTGGCTTGGTGTCAGACCCTGTCCGTGGTACCATCAGGTCATACTGCGTCACTGGGACTAGCTGCCTGTCTCAATACGCTTTAACTCTTAAGGAGATTTGAAAGTTAGATGTTGGTAGGCATCCTAAGTTCAGTCAGACCTGGGCAGGTATGAATGGCTCTCAGCTCTCTTTTCTAATTAGCTGCCTCTGATCTTGGATATAATCCACTAAATTGCTCCAAGCTTCAGTTTTCCTACCCAACTGTGGTGGATATTAGTTTACCAGTAGCAGAATATACTCCCGATTCAGCTTCAAGCCACACAGGGTGGCTGTTGGAAGCATATCAAGAGATGAAGGACAGGCATGCCTTTGGAGGCAGCCTGGGCCAGGTTCGAGGTCATACCTGCAAGAGGCTCCCCCAGTAGGGACATTGTGAGAGACTGTGCCAGGACGGTGAGGGACAGGAGAACTTCTGGATACGATGAGCTCCCCTCTCCTCAAATATCTGCCAGCTCTTTATTGTCACACCCTTGACCTTGTCCTTGGCGGGAATCAGAGAGCACAAAGTATGTATCCTAGTCTCAGCAGACCTCAGAACCTCACTCAGAACTACAGCAGCAGTGGATGTTCATTGTTCTTGTTCGAGAGCCGCCTCCTATTCTGAACTGCTCTTAAATTCTCCTTTCTTGATGCTGTGCCCACAGTTGGCACTTGAGCAGCCCACCCCACATACCCTGTCCACACGCTTGCTTTCGACACACGCCCTTCCAAGTCCTTTCTCTTCACCTCCCCCACTCCCTCCCTCCTCCTCACCATAACATTTCCCATTGCTATAAAATAAGTACCCCGAGCAATGTCTGCATGAGTGATGGGCTATAAAATTAAATGGCATAAACTATTCCAAATGAACCACCAGACATTCCGAACTTCACTCATCGCTAATTTCCAGACACAAACCCAGCCCATTGAGGGACACAGGAGAAGAGGGATGCTAACTGCATAAGGGGGCTCTAAAGAAAGGAGTCTTTTACTCCTTTTTATTATATACTCCTTAGATTCCGAAAGCGCTGATGGGTTGCATCTGGCTCAGGTTGCCTGGAATTTGTAATCGTAGATCCTGGGTGAGGGCTATTGATTTTATAATACCAAGACAATAATATGTTAAACAGAGTCCAATTCAGTTAGGTCTTAAGAAAAATGAACTTTTCCCATTGCCAAACAGCTCTGTTTGAATCAGTTCACATAGCCCTGCCCCAGGATGCTTGGGGGACAGGCAGCCGGAGCTGGGCGCCTCCCCTGAACCTCCCATCCTCTGGGCCTCGTGCCACCCCCGTCTTTTTGCTTTCCTGTTTGCAAGCCTGTTCTGTTCAGTTCTGTCTGCAGTGGGGGCTCCCGTTCCTCTCAAACTGTTCTCCTGGCTTTGATCTCCCATGGGAGATGACACTAATCACAGAAAGTAGGGACCACTCTCAGGGTAACCAGTGACCCCACAGTTTGTAAAGCTCTCAGCTGAGCTAGAGGTGGTGGCCCTATAACCACTCTGCAAAGGCTAGCTATTCCCCAATGTGTCCGTAGGACAAAGCAGAGGGTTCTTTGGGCAACAAAGGAGATCATCAAACTAGGCCAAGGTATGGATGTGGTATTGCTGTAGGATAGTGACAGAGGTCTTGGGGGGGACTACCATGTGGGAGGGTGTGGGTGTTGAGTGGTATAAACAATGGTCTTGGGGGCAGGATAAACCATGTCAGAAAATTTCCCAAAAGAATGAGGGAAAGTTGTTCCATACAGGTCCCAGAACTCCTGGTGGTTCTGGTCTTCCGAAGGGTTTAGCCAAATGAGGCACCTAGGACTTTTTCCTGCTCCTTGGTGATCCAAGCTTCTCAGCAGGTGTGAAAGGTATTGACAACCCATCCCATCACAGGACGGCTTACCGAGCAACTGCACTTTGTTCTCCGGACTCTGTACCAGGACAGAGCTGACCGAGTCCAGGTTGTCGTAGTTGCTGCAGCCCAGAGGGCCGGTCCTGGTCTCCGTGACCTGGAGAAGGAGGGCACAGTGTGGATTTAGCTACCAAGTGGAGACCACCCCTAGGCACATCCCTCTCCAGCCCTCCGATCTCAGGCCCCGTGTCCTGTCCTTGACCAGCCCAAGAGTGCATGTGTCTCCCTTCCCCGGGGGCATGAAGCCCCCTTCCTTCCTTGTTCTAACACAGTGAGTGGTCGGTGGTGGAGGGCGACCAATGGTAGGTTGTACACAGTGTGAGTCTTTCCGAGGGAGCCGGAGGGAATTTGCCTCTGGGAAGAGAAACTTCAACGTAGGCAGAGGAAGCTGGACCTCTAAGCCTGAGTGCCCCCCTTCTCCTCCCACAGAAGGAGACAGGAGGCCAGATGTGGGCATTGTCAGCCGGCTGGCGAGCCCAGCTGCATCACTTGACGTGGTACTCTCAGGCTTTAGGGATCCCGAAGATGAAAAGCACTAGAGAAATATGAGTTATGAGTATTATTATTAGTATTAAACATTTAAGTCCCACCTCGGCACTGAGACGTCCTTAGAGAAAATCAGCCATGGGCTTACTGCATATTTTAATATGTATATTAAATATACATAAACTCTTATAGCCATGTAATATTCCAAAACACCACAGAATCATTTTAAAATATTATAAAGTTTGCCTATCCATTTTTCCCTGATGTTTTTAAAGTATAAGATGAAAAATGGGGAGCTTTAAATGCACTAAAATAATTCCCCAATAAGAATGATGGGGATCCGCGGCCCTTTATTCTCAGGATCTCTGAAAGCTTTGCCAACAATCAATCAACCAATCAACGAGTATTTATTGAGCAGCCACTGTTCAATTCCGTACAATTCATCACACATTCATAGAGCACCTTTCCTGGAGTTCTTCAAGGAGTCGGCCCTGATACCTCTGACCTCTCCTGGTTCCAGGCACCTCTGCTCTGCAGCAGGCATAAAAGTTGCAGTTTTCCATTCTTTTCCGTAAAGATGTGGTTCAATTCTAGGTCCTCCACACACTAAAGGCTCCACGGAGCTAGGCTCATATTTATTTTGTTCACCATGTTGTCAACAACGATGAATGCAGCGCCTGGCACATAGTAGATACTCAATAACTTAGAGCATGTGTAATATGTCCCTGGCGTTGGGGGGTGGAGAGGTGAGCGGAGATGCGCAAGTTACGTGCTGTGTCCTCCAGGAAATTGCACCCTGTGGGGAAGGCAGGTGCATATGCAACTGGTGGAGATGCATCCAAGCCGAGCAGAAGCCAGGTGTCAATGCGCACTGAGGCAAACAGAGCCCTAAACAAAGGGAACACAGGGGAAGCAGCAGCAGAGGAGGCTCAACTGAGCTGGTCCTTCAAGGTAAGTAGACATCTTATTGAATCACTGTATTGTACACCTGGAAGTAATATAACACTGCATGTTAAGTATACTGGAATTAAAATAAAATAAAATAAAAAGTAAAATGAAATAAATAATAAAGAGAAGTAGAAGCGGCCAGGAAGAGAAGGGAAGGAAGGTACTCTGAGAACAAGGACAAGGGGCAGTGTGAGCTACAACACACGGGCTTGAGCATGTGGAGTGAAAAGGCCCAGCACCCTGCAGGTTACCAGCGGGAAGTCACCAGGTGAAGAGCAAAGTAGAAATGACATTTTTAAAGAGAATTTAGGATTTTTAGTCTTTTTTTTTTTTTAAGATTTTATTTATTTATTTGAGAGAGAGAGAATGAGAGACAGAGAGCATGAGAGGGAAGGGGATCAGAGGGAGAAGCAGACCCCCCGCTGAGCAGGGAGCCTGATGCGGGACTCGATCCCGGGACTCCAGGATCATGACCTGAGCCGAAGGCAGTCGTCCAACCAACTGAGCCACCCAGGCGCCCCTAGGATTTTTAGTCTTAAAAATTACTCATGGAACAGAGTAATTAAATGAAGTATGGTTTGACACTGACTAGAAATACAGTAGGGAGACGGGAGAGATCCTCGTGACTTAAGGTAGTCTGAGAAGGCTTCATGGAGTTGAGCCATGAAGGATGAATAGGAATGGAGGGGAAGGGGGAGAGAATTAGGAGAAAAAGAGGTGATTACAAAGACCAAGGGGCAGCTTTGGCAGATGACAAAAAGGGCCCATAGAGGTAATGGAAGGTGCACACATTCAAAGAGCATCTCACATAAGCTTTCAGAAAGGGAAAATAATTGTGCGCTAATTGGTTTGTTGACAGTACACGAAAAGCAGCCAAACCCAGCCCGAATAAAGAATGGGACCAAGAGCACGACAGGGGCAGGAACGACCTCTCTACAGTTGCAAGTTCATCCTCCAATGTCATCCCATTTAACCTTCACAGAAACTCTGAGACAAGTCTCACTACTATCACGCTCTGAAGAAGGAAACCAAGGTTCAGAGAGTTACGGTGCCCGAGGTCACAGAGCTGTGAGTAGCTAAAACAGGATTTTAGTGTTTGAATCCTCAGTCTCATCAGTGTTCCTCCTGTCTCCTGTGAGGGCACGTCAAAGGACTACAGAAAATAAAGTGACTCAAACCCCTCTGGATGACATCACTTCTAAAAACAAGTATAAACAGAGCAGTTCATCCAAAATAGTTGCGATCTGCCCTCTCTTCAGAATGTGAACACTGGGCAAAACAAATTGTATAGACCTGAGACCACAGTATCCTAATATTACAGATGAGGAGACCTTGGCCAGACAGGTGAAACGATTTATTCAAGGTCACACATCTAGTTACCTGCAGGGCTAGGATTCATTCAACTCATGCACACCTTCTTTCACTCTCTCGTTTATTCATTTAACTATGCAAGGAGCAGCCAGAACTCACCATGAGTAAGGCACAGTCATTGCCATCAGAAGTTTAGAAACATATTTCTATAATCCCAGCGTTTGGGCTGTTACATGTGGGCCTGCCTCCCTGCACAGGTGGGCACTGGTTGCTGAACAATGACTCCGTATTGAGTGAGTGAATGATGGGCTCGTGGTCACCCTGCAGTGGGAAGGCAGGGCCAGGCTTCCTTCAAGGGAAAATGTCTGTGAGAGGAGCCATGGCCGAGGACTGGCCCAGCTCTTCTGGAGTGGGCTGGACTGAAGGGCACAGTGGAATGGTGGGTGAGATAGTGGGTGGGATGGTATTTAGGCCACTGGCCTTTCCCCGCCTCCAGGTAAGCTGGCCACCACACAGTCATGGAGCTCTGCACTGGCTTTGCCATCCTCCCACCCAGGCCTGAGTTGGTTGCTCACCAGCAGCGGGTCCAGGCAGGGAGGGAGCTACATGCCGTATGGAGGAGTAGGATGACCCGCCAAGGAGGAGAACAGCGAACAGCCACTCTCCTCTCCTTTATCCCCCCACAATCCCTACCTGCATACCACCAATCCTGCTGCTTCCCCACCACCAGCACCATCTTATGCAGCATTCCGGGCTGGCCCTGATGCTGTTTTCTGACCTTGACTTTGCTGTTCCCAAAGGTCAGTTCCACCAGAGGACAATCAATTAGGTAAGTCATGGAGAGGCTGTGGGTAGCTTCCCTTTGTCAATTGTGGCACGAGGACAGGAATGAGGAAGAGACGAAGACTATGATCCCCATGCCCATTTCCGTAGAGGGAAGGAGCCGAGCCAGATCTCCAGGAATGACGAAGGCTCACTCAGATGACGCTAGATCCCAAAGTCACGGCTCTCTCCACTGCCATTCTGCTTTGAGCCACCTCTGTCCTTCTTAGAGAGATGAGGAGATGGGAAGGAAAACAGGACCTGGAGAGGGTCCTCTTATAGATATTGCCTGGGCACTGGTTTGATAAGCCGGATGCCTGAAGACCCTTCCCCCAAGCGATGAGAGTCCCAGAGTCTCTGGAGGGGGAGTCCAGAGAACTCTGTGCTTTCCCTGCTGCAGAAGCAGCAGCTTTAGCAAATGACAAAAAGGGCCCGTAGAGGTAATGGAAGGCGCGGTTCACTCAGGCGCACATATTCAAAGAGCATCTCGGATAAGCTTTCAGAAAGGGAAAATAATTGTGTGCTAATTGGTCTGTTGACAGAGACTGTCCTGCCTTCAGAAAGCCCTGATGGATCTCAGGTTCATTAGCACATCCAATTTTCCATAAATACCAGATCGTGCAAACCCTCCTTCCAGCGAGCCTGCTCTCCTCCCCTGGCCCTTCGCTCCCCCACTGCTCTTGTCCTACCTAGAGAGACACCTGCAAAGCTAAGAGCGACTAAAATGGCCTTCTCGCTGTGAGTGATAGGACTGAGCAGGGGGAGCACAGCTGATGGTGTGTGTGTGCTTAAAAGAGCTGCAAATTGAATCCCAGGTTGCTGCGCTGAGGAATTCAGACAAGCCTTTTTAAGGATGCTTTTTGAGAACCGCTACTTTTTGCTATCCTGGGACCCACCTCAAGTTTTGTGTGGGCTCTTTTCAGTAAGCTCTGGAACATATCAAACCAAGTCCTTCCCCCACCTTCGATTAAGCAGAGGATAAGCTGCCACTAAGCAACAGGCTCCTCTGCGAATGGCTCTGGTCCCTTCCCAAGGGTCGTGGACAGCAGGTGTGGTAGATGTAACCAGCCCTTTACAGTTTGCAAAGTGTTTTCATGTGAACTATGTCATTGTGTGTCACCCCAACCCTATGGCAGAGACACGGGTGGATTCACAGTATTTATCAGCAGGTAAGACCGGAGTGTGCAGACTAATCAGAACAGGTACCAGCGGTGGTCCCAAAGCAGCATTCTGGAGGCCTCCTGAGGTCCATTCGCCCCTTGGTTACCATGAAGGGGAGATCTGGGGGCTCCAAGGGAAGGATAAAGGCAGTGAAGGTGGCACCCAGGGGGTTGGGTGAGGACTGTTTACCAGCTGTCACAGAGTGGTTTAATATTCTAATAATTGGCATAGCCATAGCAGCTGAATGTAAGCCCTGGCCACAGGGGAGTCAAACCATTGGTAACTCCATGTCCTGGAGTTCATGGACTTCTCGAGTCATAAAAATGATGAGCACCAAGGCCAAAACTCAATCCCAGGTCTTCTAACTTG